AACTAAAATAACGAGAACTGGTTGAAAGCCTGATTAGAAGTAGTCTTAGAAATCCCTGTTTCTGGTCTTTACTACTGGGGAGTTGTCCCATGCCAAACCTAGCAGAAGACTGAAGGTTTATTATCTGAAAAGGGTAAACAGACTGGCTCTGCACTCGGGACCACAGACTCCACTGAGACTGGCTTCCCTTCTGAAACCACAGAAAATGAATAAGGCTTTACATGTTCAGTGCTGAAGCCTCAGCTCTGTTCTCCAACTTTGCTCCCCAAATGCTGGCAGCCAGAAAGAAATAGAAGTGTTTCTTTTGGGGAATCTGACCAGAATAAGAGGAAAGACTTAAAGCCACTGAAATTGAGGGTCCCTTAATTAAAAAGCCCAGCTTGACTGCCCTAAAGTGAAGTTCATGGTTGGCAAGCCCCACCACTCACAACTTTCAATCAATTTGTTAGAACCCATTCTTAGGTATGAGCAGACAACTGAGAAAATCCTGAGGAAATTCTATAAGCTGAATGTAGACTCAAACAAAGAAACAGAAAGAAGCAAATTGGATGAAATAGAGACTATGCTATGGAAAATAGTTTTAAAAGCTATCTATATTTATAGCTCCAATTATGTATATCAGATGATGTGTATCTAAACATATATGTATACACAAATACATATATAGATGAATATCTTAGTTATAGAGGTGCAAGAGGAAATTGCAACCTTGAAACAAGAGAACAGAATACATATTCACGTGTGTGTGTGTGAAAAATGGAGAAAACATAGGCAAAGGGGCTTTCCTGAACACTCTAAATATGGAGGCAGAAATATTATCAGGTACACTTAGCCCCAAGCTTCCTTTTCTCCCATAGTTGTGGGTGTGGCCTTGTTTGTTTCAAGAAGCAGGAAAGCCAGATGTGTGTCCATATTCCTCCACAGGGTGTGTGGTAAACTCACCTTGCTTGGTGATGTAAATCTCCAAGTATAATATGGTGATGTCATAGCAAGAATTAAGCTTCTCAGATCTGGCAAGACCCTGATTTGTGTGGGCAGCTTCACTGGCAGCTGCAAAGCCCTCATAAGATGACAAGAAGCTAAACTGAGACACACAGCATCTGCCCTGGCTCTCTGTAGCCACCTTGCTTACAAAAGGATGTGATCTGTTAGCCAATCAAATCGGGAATTCAGTTTATCTTTCAGTTGGGTGTATGTTTGTGCACTGTGATCCACCAGGAACCCAGACTTGGGATTGGTGGAAAAACACATTCTTCTACCATGGCTAGGTTTGGGATGGGGCATCAGGAAGTGGAGGGGGGGCTTGGCAGTCTGGGGATTAGCAGAGATCTGTGGGGGCGCTGTATCAGTGGGCTACCTGGGAATTCCCAAAGGGGAGTTGGAAAGCTCCATGAGGAGAGCCCAAGTTTTGGGTCCTGGCCTAAGGTTTCACTAGAGGCCCTAGTGTGGACGCCTGGGATGATAAAATGGGGGAGCAGGATCTCCCGAGGACTCCTGGGAGCCCCCTGACAGTCCATGACTTTCTGAGCAGGGAGAATCGTACTTGAGGTACAGAGGCGAGTGGAGCGGAAATAAGCATTAGCTGCCATTGACCCAGGTCTCTTGTGAAATTGCTCAGAAAAAGCAGCAGATGGATGCTGCTTAACTGTAGCATTTAACTGTAGCTGTTTTTAACCTGTGAAAATTAATCTTCACTTTTATAGAAAAAGCTTTCTGAAAAAGAGAATTATGACCCTGGAGCTCCATGATTTGTGAAAACGGAGTTTTTTGTTTTTTTTTTTGTAAATGGTGTTCAGAAGCCACAGAAAAAGTGACTTCTACATGGAAAATGAAATGAATTGAATTAGAATAATCTTGAGAGAAATGAACAACAGTGCTAAATAACTACATCTGGGTTTCAGGTACAATTTTGTTTGGGAGAAGCGAGTTTTGTGAGACTGGTGCCAACAGAGATAAAAGGAAAGTGGGTATCACATCTGGAGTCTCAGAGTCTAGAAGTCTCAGGAAGCAATTTCCTTGTGGGCCACATTAGAACATCGTCTTGAGGCGAAGGCATGTGATGCTTCTGAGGGACCCCTGACGGTTCACCTAGATCCAGCCAGGCAGGAAGAGACTGGGGGAGATGGTAGGAGAGATGGGGTGAAGCCACTGGAGACCTGGGGAAGACTGTGTACCCCTCAGCTTCCAGTAGGGAGGAAGGACACAGAGGGGAAGGAGGGATGCGAATGTGGGGGCGGGGTGAGGGGGTGGGCTGAGGAACTTCCAAGGAAGTGCAAGCCAGGTGAGCCTGTCAGATGGAGAGTGGTCTAGTTCCCCCGACCTCCCTTCTCAGGGGGCTGACAGCCTTTCCTGGGAGTAACCACAGGATGGCCTGAGAGTGGGCAGCACGGGAGCCTCCCCAGGTAGAAGTAGCTGTGTCTCTTCTGCTGAATGCAGGGGGTAAGAGTCCAGGGGCCATGCCTTCCTCTGTGTCCACATGAACTTGAAAATGAACACCTCCCATATCGCAATAGCAATATTTTTTTGATAGCGCTTGGTTATGTCTTCTGACATTCTTAACCACCCTTTAAAAGGTTAGGCTAATTAACGGCTGAACTATTTAGTATATATTTTTATCTAAAGTCTTTTAAGAAGTTGAAGTTCAACATTAAAGTTGCTTGAGACAAAAGGTAATTAATATAAGATCCCATGGAAATTAGGAATTGCAGAGAATTTTAGACTGCAATCCCAAAACCTGTATTTGCTGGCATTTCCCTTTTTTACTAAAGATGTGGTGCTATCTGAGATCTCAGAGGTACTGTACCTGTCGCTGGATTCACAGACATGCTACCTGTGCAGTCCCACGAGGCCCTGTCCTCAGAAGGACCCTATGCTTGGCATAATGTTCTGCTGCTGTTGTCTTATAATTCTTAATACATTTTGAACAAGAGCACTTGCATTTTCATGTTGCATTGAGTCCTGCCTTTGCCTCTATATTCCTCAGTGTTCCTCTCGAGAGTTTTTATGTCTTTTTCTCTGTTGGACAGTTATGCTTGAGAAATGCTTGTTGAGGGAAGATGTTTGAATTGCAAAGTTTGCAACCTATTCCATGATGCTTGATTTAAGCATCAAAAAAAGTAAGTACAGTAAAATAAAGGAGATTTTAAAATTTAGGGGTAACGTTAGAACTACAAAGAGAAAGCTGGTAGTTTAAGAAAAAAGAATGGGCAGTTATATCAATAAACTATCATGTCAGAGCACTGTAAAGATAATTTAATAGAGATCAAGCTAAATTGAGACCAATAACATGTATTCATGACCTCACAGGAAAAAAATTTTTTTTTTCCTATTTTGTCTCTGAAGTGGCTAAAAGTCCATGTTACCCTGCTATATTTCTAGTGTTCACGTGAAATAAGGTAATAAATAAATACTTAAGCACTGAGATTTTGGTGTCTAATACTAATTACTGTTTAAAATAATCAGAGCTTCTTGGAGAGTAGCTAAATCCATGTTTGCAGTAGAAAGACTAAAGATGAACTTGAGGCATTTTGTAAACTCATTCCTTGCAAATTCAATGATGAATTTTTAGCTTAGCAAAGGAAGGATACTTTGTAAAAGAAGCAGGAACCATGAGAGTCAGTGTGGATTTATGTTCTAAAGACAAATAGCTCCCATTTTGTTAAGTTCTCAGTTAGCAAATCATTTGATACAATTATGTGATATTCTTGTGAAAAGATAAAGAAATATAGTGGATTTTAGGACAACTACATGGATTCAGAGCTCACTAAAACAAAAGATTAACAGACGATTTACAAACGGGCAGGAGGAATGCAATGGCATTTAGAAAGGCCTAATCCTTGACTCATGACTCTTTTTTTATACTACATTTCCATCAACAATTAGGGTGATGATATGCTTATAAAATTTAGAGATGACACAAAGTTATGAGGGTTGGCAAAACTGCTCTATGAGACAACATTCCAATAGATATCTCCAGGTCGGGACAATATATGAACATGAATCACTTGAAATTTAATAAGAAGAAACATAAAGTAACACATTTAGATTTTAAATATGGAAAAAGTGCATAATGAGAAACAACTAATTTTTAAAAGTTTGTATAAAGAAGATCCAGGGTTGTTAGTCAATTAAAAACTCAAAATGAACCAACAGTGTGACATGGACACCCTCTCTCTTTTTTTTTTAAAGAAATGCTATATTAGGCTCTATTATTAAAGTGTCTATATCAGGAGCCAGAAAACTATCTGCAAAGGGTCAGAGAGTAAATATTTAAGGCTTTGCAGGCTAGACAATCCCTGTCAATACTACTCGATTCTGCTGCCCCAGCATGCAAGCCGCCTGAGAAAATACATACAGGAATGAGGATGACTTTGCTCCAATAAAAACTTGCTTTATGGACACAAATTTGAATTTTAGATCATTTTCACATGTCATGAAATATTCTTTTGATTAAAAAAAAATTTTAAATGTACTCCACACCCTCCAAAAAAACCCCACAACAAACCCTTGTGGGTCATACAAAAAATAGGTAGCAGGTGGATTTGGCTGGTGGGCCATAGTTGTGGATCCTAGTCTAGGTTAAAAGACACTATACTCTTCCCTGATCCAAATACTCCTGGGTGAATGAAGGTCATTTTAAAAATTTAAGTATTTGTCAAGGGTGATGATGGTGGAGGAGCTGGAGACACTTACTCCATAGAAGAGAAAACTAAGGAGGAAGGCATAGATAGGGAAAAATACATGAGGGCTGGCATGTGACTAGAGGAAGATATTGTACCCGTGCTCTTTAGCAGACCAGGAATGATGACAGAAGCTACAAGGAGGCAACTTTAACTTCGCATAAGGAAGAATTTTTTATCATGTAGAACTGCCCCATCATAAAGTGGGGCCTTCTAAGGTGGTTGTTACACAACCCTCTTTTGAGAATGTTGCTGAAGGGGCTCTCCACAGTGGATGGGAATTGGTGCAAGACTCAGAAATGTTTACTAAGCAAATCTAACCTTCAAAAATCCTGAGAACCTCTTGATTAATATACTTCTTTATTTCTTCAAATGAAACTGCATCAGCCTAAAGAAGGAAAAAGAAAATAAGGTGTCAAAATGGAGCACAGCACAAATGAATAAAGAATAGAAATGTTGGGTTGGTATGCACACTTGAAGCTTCTGCAGAGATACATTTATCAAGCAATATACTTTTGGCAACTCTTATATTAGCAATAAATACCTTCTGTTTTGATCAAATGCTAGAAAGAAGTAGGAGTGCATAATTGTTTTCATAGCTATGGGCTGGAATCATAATGAGTGATGTGAACGTATTTTCTATTAAATGGAGAGACATGGCTTCATACAAGTAGGCAGGGCATTTCCTATTACTTCATTTTCTGAAGTTACAGAATTTGAACAGTGTTATCATGATGTTAATATCCCAGGCACAATTTAACTTCTAACCAATCCCCAGACATGGATAAAGTCAATACCTAACTGATATTAGGTATCTTCAAAGGAAGACAACCTGGAAGAGAACTCTAAGTATGCTGGCTTATTCTTTCAAATATTTTATTGATGGGATAAAGCTTACTAAGTTTTACCCATTTCATGGGAAAGTTTATTCTATAATTTGTACTTTGTAAGCATATTTGTATTGAGCAATTTTCTTTTTTAAGAGAGAATGCAAGCAGGTAAATGACCTCAGTTGAGTTTTTGACCTCTTGACAAATAAATTTACATGGATTTGATAAAGAATCTAACATTTGTAGTTGTAATGTTTTATTATACACCTTGATATTTTAAAAGGGAGCTATTATTTTTCATGATGGTTAGGATTTCAAAGTATCTTATTTGTATTTGGTAGTTATTATCCAGGGGTGTGGCATTAAAGATAATGTGATGAGCTCAGAGAGTGATGATTTCTATAGAACACAATAGTTCGAAGAATGCCCTACTTCAACATTTTATTTTCACAGTGTATGGGACAAATGAGCTGGAATTAATGTGTCTAATATCAATTATTGACACAGCACAGAGAGTTCATTCTACAAGCTTTATTTAAGCAGAGCTTAGAGACAGTGGGTAAAAAAAAAAGAAGTATGAAAATTGTGGAAATGCCCAATTTGGTCCTATATCTGATACTGACTAATTATCTGAGGACAACATGTCCTTAACTCTGTGACCTCACTCCAGGTTTCTTTTCTCTTCCTGACATGGATATTTTCAGAGCAAGTTCCTCTGTGGAATGGCCATCCACCATGCGTCCTGAGGATATTAATAATCATTCTTTCTTAGTCCACCTGGTTTCTACTTCAAAACACTACTCAGGGCAGATCTGCTGTTCTGATGTTCAACAAAATGGAGTAATATGAAACAGACATACGTATTTTCTGTGATGTGTAAGGAGGCATTATAGATAGTACGTATTTAAGAGAATGGCCTTGGAGTCAGTCGAACCTGGGTCTGACCCACTAAATTACTGTGACCTTGGACAAGTCAGCTCGAGATTCTGCATTTGCAGAAGTGGGATGGAAAGCACATCTATCCTCCCAAGTTAGCTGTGAGGACCCATTGAGGTAGCATTCATAGTAAGTGCTTAGTAGACGATAGGGCCCATAACCTGAAGTAAATGACGCCTATTGCTACCCTTGTAGAGAGCAGATCAGGTTCATTTTATTTATTTTGAAAGAATTACGGTTGCTTTCATTGGAAAAGGGTACCAGCCAGGAGCTCCTGGGGCTCTTGGCACCACTTACCGGAGTTCCGGGGACACCTGGATTGCCTGGAGGGCCTTGGTGCCCAGGGGATCCCACAGAGCCCTTGTTTCCTGGTGGCCCCACAGGACCTATGGCCCCTTTCATGCCGGGAAGGCCTGGTTTTCCCTGTTCGCCTTGTGGGCCTCTGTCTCCTGGAATTCCCTGATCACCCTGTTAAGGAAAAAAAATTAATAATAAAGAATGATTGCTTCTAAAACTGCAATAGCTGTGAACAGGAGCAAAGGTTCTGGATTCATACTCACACTTACTAGCTGTGGGGCCTTGGCTAAGTGAATTAAACTCTCTGTACCCTAGCTTCCCATCCCATAAAGTGAGGATATTAATAGTATCCACTAATTAGGGTGATGCTGAGAAATAAGTGAGTTAACTCGAGTAAAGTGCTTAGAATACTGCCTGACATGTTGAAAGCACTCCATAAAAAGTTAGTGACAATGTCAACTGTAATCATTTTCCCATCTAGAATTAATGACACTTTTCAAAGTCAATAGCAGCTGTCACTTCAGACCCAGGTCTCCTTTTTAATAATGAAAGAAGGTTGCCAAGAGGATTTCATCACTGAGGCTTTTCACACAGAAAAACTTCAGGACTCTCAAAATGCCTAAATAC